ACATTTGATAATATATCATGAAGTTACATCTTCTTCTGCGCGACTTACATGCTATTGTACGCGAGTTACATCTTAATATACACGAGTTACATCTTAATGTATGTGAGTTACATCACGAAATAAACCCCCGCTACATCTTTTATTTTTATCATTTGACAAATAGTGTATGAATATGAAATACAATATACTTATTTTATGTGGATTAATAAGATTTTGTATTAAATTAACAAAGAAAAAAATTAATTCAGTTATAACTGAATTAGTTCAAGATAAAGATAAGTAAAAAATCATAAATAATTAGATATAACTCACACATAATTACATGTAACTCGCGCATAAAAGTATGTAACTCGTGTATAACAAGATGTAACTCACACATAACAAGATATAACTCACACATAATAACTTGTAACTGGAGTATAAGATGATGTAAGAGGCGGACTCATTAAGGGTCCCACGAGGTCCCGGGACCCTGTGCACCTCGGAAAAATACCTATATATTATATATATATATATATATATATATATATATATATATATATATATATTATATAAAATTAATTATTCAATGTATATTTACACAAAAAACGACTTTAAAAGCAAAAGATCGAAGCAGAGGGATGGGAGCATGTGTGGGATTGAAAGTGTTTATGTTGTGGGAGGTACAAATTTCGAATCCCCCCCGGGGGTCCTTTTTTTGTTTTCCAAAACTATTTTAATTAAATAGACCAAAACAACGTCGTTTTGGCCTATTTTTGGGGGTTGCTTCACGCTCCACGCTCCGCTCCATCTTGTCCATATCAATTTTACATTAAATATACATCCAATAAAATGTTGCCATGTGTCAAGTAATTCCTTTTTTATAAAATGTCATAACTTTTTCATTTTTGCTCCAATTTTTATAAAAATTATACCAAATTAAATATCTTTTTATGATCTTTCATATGACACCAACATTTTATATGTAATTTTTAAAAAAAAATCTGGTCAAGTCTCGTGAACATACGTATTACAAAACATACATATTTTTTCATATATGACTCTTGACTACTATTAGAAAATATAGTAATTTTTTCATATATGACTCTTGACTACTATTAGAAAACATACGTATTTTTTATTCCATTAAATGTTGCTTTGCGCACCCGAGAATTGCTTTACGTAGCCATGGCATGACAAGTTTGGCCTTCTTAATTACTCCGTATTAATTAAAATTAAAATTGTTTTACGCACCTCCACGCTCGGCTCCATTCAAAGTTCAGACGGCTTGCCCCATATCAATTTTACATTCAATCTATATCCAATAAAATGATGTCATGTGGCAAGTAATTCTTTTTTTATATATATAAAATGCCATAACCTTTTCATTTTTACTCAATTTTTTATAAAAATTATACCAAATGAAATACTCCCTCCGGTCCTAAATAAAGTTCAATGTTTGATTTTACACAAATTAAGGAAATAAATTTGACTTTACTGTAGAGTACACTGTTGTGACACTGTTTGACACTGTTCTGCATTGTTTGGCACAGTTTTGCATTGTTTTGATGTAGATTATTTTCCAAATAAGGAAGGGGGAAGAAGTGTGAACTTTATTTTGGACTGTCCCAAAAAGTAATGTGTGAACTTTATTTAGGACCAGAGGGAGTATTTTTTATGGTCTTTCATATGACACCAATATTATATACTCCCTCCGGTTCTGAAAGATCTTTACACTTTTCATTTTTATCAGTACCACAATTATCTTTACACTTCCTCATTTGCCTTATTTGGCAAATAAATCTACACAAAACAGTGCCAAACAGTGCTAAACAGTGTCAAACAGTGCCAAACAGTGTACTCTACAGTAAAGTCAAATTTGTTTCCTTAAAAGTTGTGAAGTCAAAGTGTCAACATCTTTTGGAACCGGAGGGAGTGTGTAATTTTTTAAAAAAAATCTGGTCAAGTCTCGTTTTTTTTATAAAAATCGGTATTTTAAAAATCGCGTTGTCTCCCATGTTTTTTTACTCTGCTGCTTTTCTTTGCATATCTTTTTTTTTAATGTTAGATTAAATTAATGAATTAATGTATTTATAAATGTTATTTTCAATTTTATACGATTAGTTACATATGTTGAGAGAGATGTTTTTGGTACTATTAGTGATTATTCTACTATAGAATATTTCCAACAAATGAAGCCTAGGAGGGTATATCTGTAGAACCGTTGATTGATTTCAATATGTAATTTTTTGATTTATAATATCTTAATGTTTTGATGGTGTACGTTAACTTTGAAGTGTTATGCTTCTTTAATATTTTTTATTAGTTTTATATTTATCAGATATTAGAGATATAAAATGGTAGGGACCTCGTGGCTCCGACTTTCTGGGTCCGCCACTGGATGATGTAACTTCGTATATTATCAAATGTAACTCCAAGCTATAAGCAAAATAAACAAACTCAATATCTTAAAAATCTCTAAAAACATATAAAAGTGATAAAAAAATATATTATAGAAAAAGTGTATGCATATAAAAATATACGGAGTATTACAAAAAAATGTTTGAATGTAAAAAATTAAAATTACATAGGCAATATTGGTCTCATTTGAAAGATGATGAAAAATAAAAAAATTTGATATAAATTTTATAAAAATCGGATCAAAAAAAAAAATTATTAACAATTTTAAGAAAAGGAGAAATAAAAAATAACTGTTTTAAAAGATTGATTCTGAGCACTTTGGAGTCCTCTGAAATATTTGTGCACTCTCACCCGAACACCATGATATCTGCTTCTGGTCTCAGAAGGAGCACAAACGGTTTTAAAAAGTAGATCCAAACACCACCCAAGTATGTTATGTAGATCTTAAGGATGTTTTTACTTGGATTGTAATTTGATGGTTTGGTTTGGTCTGGTTTGTTTAAGTCTGGTCTGTTCTGGTCTGTTTAAGTCTGGTCTTGTCTGGTTTGTTCTGAACTGGACTAGTCTGGTAAATGTTTGATCTATGTGTATTTTATAACGACGGAAGTCAAGTCTGGTCTGGTCTGTTAAAACTAGTCTGATCTGGGACTGAAAAAAGTTCAAGTAAAAACATCATAACTTAGCAAGTGACATCATGCGTTTTACTCCCTCCTTCCCATTTTGTAAGATACACTTTTCTTTTTGTGTTGCCCCAAAAATATGATCACTTTGTTAAACCTAACTTTACTAACTTATTTCAGACACGTTTACTTCATAGGTTACTAAGCAGCGCTCATCAAGACTTGTGTTCACAACGGCACATAGTATAAACTGTGCTATATATTTATTTCACATGATTTAAAACACCGTTTAACAAAATGACTTGATTTAAATCAAGTGATAAAATCCAGGTTAGGAATGAGACTGAAACCCAATAATTATTCAACTACGGTAGCAACCCAACCTATCTAAGTGGAGATCCCATAAAGTAGGTTCAATGTGGTATAAACAAACCGTAGTGTGAATTGTGCATCTCATTAAAATATTTTATGAGTTCTATTCCTTGATAAGCCTGAGAGATGCTGAAATTGCTAAGTAAGTAAGAGTTTAAGACCTTGAATGGGATCGAGCTTTAAAGCAGAGTGTTAACAATGCACTCTTGGAGATGTCCAACTATGAGAATGTTATTGTGTGGCCGCAATTAGAGAATATGAGTTAATTCTCGATGACATTCTTGAGACAGGATCAGGACGCACGGCCGTAAAGAGTCAACCCTATAGATCGTTGCCATTGCGTTTAGTGTGTTGCTTTTACCCTACACCACCACAACCAAGGTTCGAGTTCAAGAACTATGTTCACTCTGTTCCTGTGGGGGTTAGGGGTAAAAGCTTAGATGTTGATCCAAATCGGAAGGTACCATGCATCTGTGGAGCCTACAACTATGGATTTGTGGGGGATTGTTGGAAAAATGATAAAATAAATAATGGTATAATATATGAATTGGGTGTGACTTATTATACATTAAAGAACAACTTACATTGCATGTTTGGATCTATTTCATTTAATGACTAGAATCCATAGTTGTGAAAGTTGTAAGTGTAACGTATTAGTTTGATGAATTTATTGTCCAATATTTGAAATAAATGGCATTTTTATATGAAAAGGAAAAATATTTAAGTATCATATAATAACAAAAGCCATTTAATTTTTGGGACAAAAATTCTGAAATGGGGAAGTCTGCGAAATGTTTAATTAATTGCACACAAGTAATGTTGCTGACTAGGGTTGTAAACGAATCGAATCGAACCGAATAGTGAGTAATATTATTCGTATTCGTATAAATTGACGAATATTCGTATTCGTATTCAGATATTATTCGAATCTTACAATAGATTCATATTTCATTTGTTTATTGTATTTGAGTATATTCATATTCGAATATTCGAATTCGAATTCAAATATTTGAAGTGTAAAAAAAAAATGCACCTATTCAAATTATGACTCATTTTAGGCATTTTTCGATTTTCACAAATGTCTATTAAATGAATTATTTCAAAAATTCAATTACTTCAAAACTCAATTGCTAAAGAAACACACACAAATAAAGTAAACAAAGTTAATTCAATTACTTAAACAATTATATAAATTATAAATATAATATAATATATATTTATAATTCGTAAATATACAAATCGAATATATTCGAATAACTTACGAATCGAATATATGTATATTCGTATTCGTATTCAAATTTTATTCGAATAATAAAATTGATTCGTATTCGAATATTTCGAATTCGAATCATCAATTTCGAATTCGAATCGCGAATCGGATCAAAATTATTCGATTCGTTTATAACCCTATTGCTGACTAAGTATAGATGTGGACGTGTACTTTGAATTTAAAATTTAAAGTGCTTGACTTGGTCATACTTAGTTAACTTGGTCCGGTCATCATGCATGGATCATGGCGGCAACCTTATAGGAGCAGTTAAGCATTTTTGACTAATTATTTTCGGTATATGAATACCTATCTGATTTCCAAAAGAAAAACAGTCCGCTGCATGCCTAGCATCTTCTCACGTCCAAAACTGCTCTCTTGCTAGCATTATTCATATTTTTTGTTTACTGGAGTCATCCACGAACAAAACCCCTTTCACTCTTAAAGCTCTTTAAATCTTTTCTCATCGTGAGAAGCTTAGTTCGTATCCGAGAGGAAAATAAATTTCCATAGTTCACACTTCATTTCTTTCCCGACTCATCTCTATTAATTGGCAATTGGGCAACGGTTGAAGTGTTTCTGTCAAGCAAGCTAAAGGACCGGAACAGAGGTAAGATTATCCTGTGAGCGAGTTGGCCAGTCCTATTCGTGTACCTATCAGGATACGGGGGCTATCTTTCTTCAAGGCCAGTCCGGTTTACGGACGATCTTACACTAAGTCTTTCTTTCTCTATTTTTTTATATTTATATTTCATATCTAATTATTGTTACTATTTTATTTGTTGTTGCATTTGGTGGTTTGTCTGGTGATTTGTGATTAAACTCGGGATTTTATTTGACTAAACTCACATTTATTAATACTATTTTTCTAAAAATCTTGAAGAAAGATATTATTTTTCGAGTTTTGAAAATCCAATATAGCGAACTTGGAAAATGCTATTACTTCTGAAAATGTTGCTGTTGAGAATAACGTGAATGAAATCTCTGAAAACAATGTTAATTCTGTGTCTGTGACTAATTATGGAGACACACATTAATTTATTGCCACGGGCTCTCACAAGGTTGATTTGACCGGATTGCCTGAAAAATTTTCTAAGCATTTTTTCAAGCGTTGGCAACAACGCATGAAAATCTGGTTAATCACCAAGGGATTGCTCTCGGTAATTATGACGATGTGTCCCCCCGTTGTCGAGTCTGATCCCAAGAGTCTTGAACGCCACCAAGCTTTATGGCGAGAGAGGAATGAAATAGCCAAAGGAATGATATTGTTGGGACTCTCCGACATGTTGTTTGATGTCTATTGCACTCTCCACGGCACAGCTAAAGACCTTTGGGATGAGTTGGATAGGAAATATAATACTGATGACCACGGTCTTGAAAAGTATATTGTTTCTAAATTCTTGAGATTCGACATGAAAGAGGGAAAATCTGTTTCAGAACAAACACAAGAATTTAAACTTATCTTACATTCTCTCTGTGAAGCAGATATGGAATTGCCTGAAAAATTTAAAGTCATGGTTGTAATTGAAAAATTCCCCAAATCGTGGGAAGATTTTGGTTTGACTTTAAAACTCAAAATGAAAAAGATAACTTAGAAATCTTTGATGCATTCCATTACTGTTGAGGAAGAACATAAGAAAGCAGGTTACATTGTCCCTGTTGAATTTCAGCCAAAGACTCATGTTGTAACCGGGGGGAAACAGTTACAAAATTCTAAGAATAAACAACCATCATCTTTTAAACCAATAAATGCCAAACTAAAAATTGCAAAGAAAACAAAGGCAAACCGTCCATGCTGGATTTGTGGACAGATGGGGCATTGGACCAAATTGTGCTCAAATAAAAAGGCTAAGGCTCAATCTGGTAGACCTCAAGTGAACATGGTGACTGGAGGAACTAGTTTCGATGGGTATGTTTCTTTTAACCCTCAAGTTTTCACTATTTATAATTTCAATGAGTGGTTAATAGATACATGAGTGAATGTGCATGTGTGTGCTGAGAAATCGCTCTTTGTTTCTTATCAGTCAGTGGTTGGAAGAACAATGATGATGGGAAACACAAGTGCTGCTAATGTGCATTGAGTTGGAAAAGTGGAAATAAAATTTCCTTCGCGAATAATTCTGTCTTTGAGTGGGGTGCAACATGTTCCCGAAATTAGAAGGAACATTATTAGTGGTTACATTCTTGTAAGGGAGGGTTATGAATTGTCTTTTAAATTAAATAAAGTTGTAATTTTATTTGGTGGAACTTTTATTAGCAAGGGTTACTTGTCAAATGGACTTTTTAAGATAATGGTTGATTATTTGGAATTAAATTATGTATATGAGAATTGTGATTCTTCAACTTTATGGTATTATCATATCATTTGGGTCATGTTAATTTAGATTTTGTGAAAAGAATGATGGATTTAAATTTAATTCCAAAACACTCTATTAATAAAACTAAGAAATGTATGGTTTGTGCTACAACAAAACAAGTAACAAACCTTGTCATTCAATTGATAGAAATTCAGAGAATTACTTGAGTTAATTCATACTGATATTTGTGAGTTTAATATAGTGCTTACTCGTGACAAAAAGAAATACTTTATCACTTTTATTGACGATTATTCTAATTACTGTTATGTGTATCTATTTAAGGGTAAAGATGAAGCTTTTGAAAAATTCTTAATTTTTAAGAATGAAATAGAGAATCAAACTCGTAAGAAAATTAAAAGGTTAAGATCTGATAGGGGAGGAGAGTACACTTCTAATTTAGTTGTACTAGAATGCCAAAAACACGGTATAGTACATGAAGAAACACCTCCTTATTCACCACAATCAAATGGAGTAGCTGAATAAAAAAATAGAACTTTTAAAGATATGATTAACAGTTTATTAGAGAATTCTGGATTACCTAAGTTTATGTGGGGGAAACTTTGAATACGGCCTGCCATATTCTGAATAGGATTCCCATGAAACATAAAGATAAGTGTCCATTAGAACTATTGACAGGCAGAAAACCAACTTTAAAATATTTTAAAGTGTGGGGCTGTCTTGCAAAAGTATTAGTCCCTGAACACAAAAGAAAGAAACTTGGGCCTAAAACTGTTGATGCTATTAGGGGTGGGCACGGGACGGGACAAGAATTAGACTATCCTGGTACCGAACCCAATTTAGGATAACGGGACAGAACGGGACGGGACAAGACGTTGTCCCGCTATTGTCCCTTTTAAACCGGTACCGGAACAGAACGGGACGGTTCGGGACATCCCAAAAACATTGCAGCGAAAAAAATATAGCTCCAAAAATAAACTTCATGACAAAAAAACTACAACACTAAATATGTAACACTAAAATATTTATAAAATAAGAGATTACATTTTTCATGTGTGAATTATGTTTATAGATAATTTCTGAAGTTACATCTTCTTGTGTCTGACTTACATATTTCTATGTGCTAGTTATATTTCGGTTTGCCTCAACAAGCTACATTTTGCATACACCTAAGTTACATTTTTTCATGCGTGCTACTGTTCACACGTGTTTTAGACTTTTAGTTGTGGGAGCACCATGCTCACCATGGACTGCTCCCACGGTATAACAACTGCTATTAGAGAATGTTTAAACTACTTAAGGTCTTATTTTTAGAAAATAGATGAGTTTTAGTCCTATTAAGGTAAATTTCCCTTAAAAAGACAGCAAGCCCGTAAGTTTAAAACCTTGTAAAGTGTTTAATCAAGAGTTTTGGTTGGATCCCTCACACGCATTTTTCCTGCACTATCATTGAAAAAATAGGATTTGGTAAACTTCCACTTAAATAAATTATGAACTCCAACTTTAATTGTGCTTGAGTTTTCTTTGACTTTTTTGCAAAACCAATTCCATCAATATTCCCACACTGAAAGCGTCAAATAACTCACAAGATTATATAACTAATTTCAAACTAAAGTTATCAAAACGTCTTGATTTAGAGGTTGTGTCAAGTTTGAATGGATAAGGTATGCGAGTTCATGGAGACAGAACAGTTTTACTGTCTAATGATGTCATTAGACAGTGAAATTGTTCTGTCTCCATGAACTTGCGTGCCTCATCCATTCAATTTTTTTTTAAATAAAGACATGATTTATTCTTCACGAGTTTTCGTGCGCGGAATGAAAGTTAAGTATTAGTTTCATTTGTTAGTATATATCTCCTAACAAAAATTATCGTAGAGATATATGTACTTGCTCACATTCAGTTTTATATATCTAATATATATGGTATTACACATTTATGATTAAGCATTTTTATTGTCAATGTTTTATTCATGATTGTGTTCCTTTGGACCTATGTTATATTCTAGTCAAGATAATCCGAATTTTATTAAAAATTCCATATTTAACCTACAATTATGATAATGTAAAATAGCGATTAATTAATTAATAAAATTGTCGACTAAATTATGTTAAAATTATTACAACTATGAATTTTTTATATTCCATATTATAAATTCGGAAATTGAAAATTAATTTAATAATTCGAAAATTGAAAATTAAGTGATTTTAATAATTCGAGTTTTTAACATTATTTAGTCGAAAATTATAATAATTCGAATTTTAATAAACAAGTAACACGAATTTATTTATTAAATTTAAAATATACGTAGAAAACAAACAATTTTTTTTATTACATTTAACAACTAACATTATTGATAAACAAACAAACACAAACTTATTCATCATCGTCAAAGCTTTCATCAAGAGGCCTAGCCCACAGCTCGTTAATTTTCTTTTCAGCTTCTGCGTTTATTGGTTCCATATACTCTGAACATTCTTCCGCACGAAAAAGTCTCCTACACAAGTCTTTTCCGTTTTTGACACTGTTTGAGTCTGACTCATCGTCTTCAATGCTGCCAAAGCTTTCAAGAGGTCTATCAATCAGCTCACGGATTTTCTGCTTTGCTTCCTCATTTACGGGCCTCATCAACGGTGTAACTTGTACACATCAACTTCCAGTCAATTAGTTCTGGATTAGTCGTATTTTTTGCATTTAAAAAAAGGGTGAGACAACACTTATATATACATGAATTTGTCACGGATTTGTCACAGATTGGGACGTGACAAATGCGAATTTTATTGGTCTCTCCAACGGACTGCCCGACGGATCGGATGATCCTTGGAATGTAAACATTGTTACTTTCGAATTTTTCAGAAACAGAATTTTCTTCCCCTGCAGACACAGACTCAGACTCACTTGCTGGAGGAAAAAGTGATACATAGGAATTTCCCTAGTCTTATAACTATCCAAAAGAGTTCCTTTCGAAATTGCTAACTTCGAGATTGCTAAACTTCGAGATTGCTAACTTCGAGATTGCTAAACTTCGAGATTGCTAAACTTCGAGATAGCTAAACTTCGAGATTGCTAACTTCAAGATTGCTGAACTTCGAAAAATCTCAAAACTTCGAAATTTCAAAAATCCCAAAAACGGAAATTCACCCTTGTTTATCTGAAAATTTGATCGAAACATCCAACAAACGCAGAATAACGTCAAAACAAGGTTCATCAAATAAAAAATCGGAGAAAATCATTTTTTCGAGAACTATTTCTTCAGCGTCAATGGCAGATCTAAAAATTGCAGAAATTCTTCAATCGATTTCACGCTTGGCTCTGATACCAATTTTTTCCCAATTTCATCCAACAATCATACAAAAAAATAGAGTAGAGAAGAAATAGCTTTGATCCAATACCAAGATTAATGTGCGTGTAAGGTTTAGGGTTTCTCTTAAATTTTATAAAACATGAGATTACATTTTTCGTGTGTGAATTATGTTTATAGATAATTTCTAAAGTTACATCTTCTTGTGTCTGACTTACAGATTTCTATGTGCTAGTTATATTTCGGCTTGCCTCAAAAAGTTACATTTTGCATACACCTAAGTTACATTTTCTCATGCGTGCTTCTGTTCACACGTGTTCTAGACTTTTAGCTGTGGGAGCACCATGCTCACCATGGACTGCTCCCACGGTATAACAACTGCTATTGAAGAATGTTTAAACTAGTTAAGGTCTTTTTTTTAGAAAATGGATGAGTTTTAGTCCGATTAAGGAAAATTTCCCTTAAAAAAGACAGCAAGCCCGTAAGTTTAAAACCTTGTTAAGTGTTTAATCAAGAGTTTTGTTCGGATCCCTCACACGTTTGCATTTTTCTTGCACTATGATCAGAAAAATAGGATTTGGTAAACTTCACCTTAAATAAATTATGAACTCCAACTTTAATTGTGCTTGAGTTTTCTTTGACTTTTTTGCACAACCAATTCCATCAATATTCTCACACCAAAAGCGTCAAATAACTCACAAGATTATATAACTAATTTCAAACTAACGTTATCAAAATGTCTTGATTTAGAGGTTGTGTCAAGTTTGAATGGATAAGGTATGCAAGTTCATGGGGACAGAACAATTTTACTATCTAATGATGTCATTAGACAGTGAAAGTGTTCTGTCTCCATGAACTTACTTACTTACGTGCCTCATCCATTCAATTTTATTTTAAATAAAGACATGATTTATCCTTCACTAGTTTTCGTGTGCGGCATGAAAGTTAAGTATTAGTTTCATTTGTTAGTATATATGTCCTAACAAAAATTATCGTAGAGATATATGTATTTGCTCACATTCAGTTTTATATATTTGATATATATGGTATTATACATTTATGATTAAGCATTTCAATTGTCAATGTTTTATTCGTGATTGTGTTCCTTTGGACCGATAATATATTTTAGTCAAGATAATCCGAATTTTATTAAAAAATCCATATTTAATATACAATTATGATAATGTCAAATAGCGATTAATTAATTAATAAAATTGCCGACTAAATTATGTTAAAATAATTACATCTACGAATTTTGTATATTCCATATTCTAAATTCGGAAATTGAAATTAATTTAATAATTGGGGTATCCTGATGGGGTAAAGGGGTATAGGCTGTGGGATAGAAGTGTGTCTGGTTTTAAGGTGGTTATAAGTAGGGATGATATATTCAATGAGTTTGATTTCCCTTGCTTGCTTAAAACTGTTTCTGAGCATGAGCCTGAAAGGACTCCTGATGAGGTGGAGCCTCAGGCCCCTTCTCTGCCTAATAGTTGGAGTATCCTCCTGTTATGTATGACACTCCTCCTTTTGTACCTGTCATCTGCTCTGATGTGCATGTTAATGTTTCTGGTGATACCGCTACCTCTAGTGAGGTGGAGTTTAATTATCGTGCTTATCAAAGACATAACTGGCAAACAAATTGGAGATACACAAAATACTCCCAAAAGAAAATTAGAGAAGTACCAAAGGTACTCACCCTAACCGTGAGAGCGGATTCTCTCAAGCACTATGCTTTCAAAA